CCTCGGCATGCAGACGCTTCTACAGACATTGGTGAGAGAACGGGTCGCTCTCAGGAGCTCGGTGACTACAAGCGCGGTGCCGTGATAGGTTGTCACCTGCGCGATAAGTCCGTCCGTGACATTTCCCGGCTACTAAATATTCCGCCGCGGTCGCCTGTTACTGGGATTATAACAAAGTGGAAGCAACCGGGAACAACAGCAACTCAGGAACGTGACCGGCCGCACAGAGTCCTGACCTCAACCCCATGAATTAGAGGCGGAGACTGCGAGCCCCTCCCCCAACATCAGTACCTGACCTCACAAATGGTCCAACATCCCCATAGACACGCCCCTAAACCTTGTGGACGCCTTCCCAGAAGAGGCGGAGCTGTTATAGCGGCAAAGGGCGGAGCCAACCTAATACTGAACCCTGCGGACTAAGACTGGGGAGCCATTAGGGGGTGGAGCCAACCCAATACTGAACCCTCCGGACTAAGCCTGGGGGGCCATTAGGGGGTGGAGCCAACCCAATACTGAACCCTCCGGACTAAGCCTGGGGGGCCATCAGAGTTCATGTTGGTGTAGGCGCCCCCATACCTCCGGTGATGTATATGGGACGCTACAGGTCACCTAATGACCACTGGAGGGCGATGTTGCAGTCTGTGGTTCTGACCTTCATCGATAGATATGATTATTGGGTGTCGGTGTATCTGTGGCCCTGGTGTCGGTGTATCTGTGGCCCTGGTGTCGGTGTATCTGTGGCCCTGGTGACAGATCGATGTGAGGAGAGACGTTTCCAGCTTACAATGTCGTCTTGTTCCATTTGTAACAGCTTTATTGACATTCATTGATCACAATTGGTGGCGACGTTTCAGGTACCTGGTGGAGTCTCTTCCTCGGGCAGAGTGTGGAAGGGGCCCCGCGTGGTCCCGGAACGTTGCCGTGTCTGTCATGTGGATCCCATGGCTTCCTATACACGGCACAGTCACCCACGCCGTATTTACCAGACGCAGTACGGATACTTTTCCTCCGGTTCCAGCTACCGAGCCCTTTTCTCCGGTGCGAACAATGCAGACTAATGATTTTAGGACGGTGGTGGAGCGCCGGGGCCCGGCTGCAGCTGCGCCCAGCCGTGGAGGGACTACAAATCCCAGCAATACGTTATACAGCGCTGCAGACTAATATGAAGCTACATACTCTGTGTTGCTCCGGCGTGGTGGCCTGATGTCTCCGGGGTCTCTGGTGGGCTGTGCCGGGGTCTCTGGTTGGGCTGTGCCGGGGTCTCTGGTGGGCTGTGCCGGGGTCCCTGGTGGGCTGTGCCGGGGTCCCTGGTGGGCTGTGCCGGGGTATCTTTGTTATCACGGTTCTGCTTTTATTGTCGTTTCTGTATTTTATCACTTCCTCTGATTTTTTAACAATTATCAATATTTTGTTGTCTTCATTACTTTGCGTTCTGTCTTTACTTTTTCACACACACAGACACACACTGGAGGTAACATTTTTCAGTTTAAATCAATATTAATCCCACAGGTCAGTGACACCGCAGTAGCATCATAAGTCCCCTTTAATGGCTTTTGAGCTGTGTTCTTTTCTCTTTCGGACATTCAGGCTGTTCATTAAATCCGCGCACAGACTGAAATAGCAAGTACATGGCACGTTATTCCTTAGCTATCAATTGAGAATCAGTTCTGTACAGATGTGGCTTCAGGTAAAGATGAACTCCATGCGCACAAGTTTCATTACAATATGTTCCTCCAAGGCCACAAAAGATTTAAATCCACTTTGTGTGTACCAAATGTCTTTGCAAAACCAGTTATTATGGTGTGAAGGTAGCATATACTGTGTTGTAAATAGTCTGTACAGAAAGCAGAGCTGTGGGAGGGACCCAGCAGGCCCCACCTACTACAGGATGCCTGTAGAAAACTAGAGTAGGGTGCGGATGCAAGACCAGTCACCCTGCACAAGGAGAGAGAGCAGCAGTGACCGGTCTGTATTACTGGAAACTCCTGCACAGAAGCAAAGTTTCACATTGGATCACTGCACAGATTTGGAAGAAATACACAAAGGACAGCA